AGTGTGGGGCTTTGGTTTGCTTGACAAGATGAACGTTTGGGCAGTGTGGAGGCTTTATTGCCGATGATTCGGGGCATTTGTTGCTCGGCAGTGAATGATGGATCGATCTTCCATTGAACCTGACTCCTTCAAGAGAAGTGTGGGGCTTTGGTATGGTTGACAAGATGAACGGTTGGGGCTGTGTGGCGACTTTGATCCCGTTGATTTTGGGCATGTGTTGCTTGGCAGTGAGTGATGGCTCGGTCTTGCATTGAACCTCACTCCTTCAAGGGAAGTGTGAGGCTTTGCTATGCTTGACGAGATGAACGTTAATGGCTGTGTGGAGGCTTTGATGCCGTTGTTTCGGGGCATGTGTTGCTTGGCAGTGAATGATGGATCTCCCTTCCATTGAACCTCTGGCATTGAATCTCACTTCATCAAGGGAGGTGTGGGACTCTGATATGCTTGACAAGATGAACGGTGGTGCAGTGTGGGGACCTTGATCCCGTTGATCCGGGGCATGTGTTGCTTGGCAGTGAATGATGAGTCGGTCTGGCATTGAACCTCACTCCTTCAAGGGAAGTGTGGGACTCTGATATGCTTGACAAGATGAACGATTGGGCGGTGTGGGGACTATGTTCCCTTCTATTAGCCGTGTTTGTCTTTTGGCAGCGAATGATCGGTCGATCTTGCATTGAAGGGAAGTGTGGGGCTTTGGTATGCTTGACAAGATGAACGGTTGGGCAGGGTGGCGACTTTGATCCCGTTGATTCGGGGCATGTGTTGCTTGGCAGTGAGTGATGGCTCGGTCTTGCATTGAACCTCACTCCTTCAAGGGAAGTGTGAGGCTTTGCTATGCTTGACAAGATGAACGTTTGGGCAGTGTGGAGGCTATAATGCCGTTGAATCGGGGCATGTGTTGCTTGGCAGTGAATGATGGATCGATCTTCCATTGAACCTCTGGCATTGATCCTCACTCCTTCAAGGGAAGTGTGGGGCTTTGGTATGCTTGACAAAGTGAACGGTTGGGCAGTGTGGGGACTCTGTTCCCCTTGATTAGGCGTCCGAGTTGCTTGGCAGTGAATAATCGGTCAATCTTCCATTGATTCTCACTCCTTCAAGGGAAGTGTGAGGCTTTGGTATGCTTGACAAAATGAACGCTTGGGCAGTGCTGCGACTGATGATGGGTCGATCTTGCATTGAACCTCACTCCTTCAAGGGAAGTGTTGGGCTTTGGTATGCTTGACAAGATGTACGGTCGGGCAGTGTGGCGACTTTGATCCCGTTGATTCTGGGCATGTGTTGGTTTGCCGTGAATGATGGCTCGGTCGGGCATTGAACCTCGCTCCTTCAAGGGAAGTGTGGGGCTCTGATATGCTTGACAAGATGAACGGTTTGGCAGTGTGGGGACTCTGTTCCCCGTGATTGGGCGTGTGAGTTGCTGGGCAGTGAATAATCGGTAGAACTTGCATTGATCCTCACTCCTTCAAAGGCAGTGTGAGGCTTTGGTATGCTTGACAAGATGAACGGTTGGGCAGTGTGGCGACTTTGATCCCGTTGATTCGGGGCATGTGTTTGTTGGCAGTGATTGATGGCTCGGTCTGGCATTGAACCTCACTCCTTCAAGGGAAGTGTGTGGCCCTAATATGCTTGACAAGATGAACGGTTGGGCAGTTTGGAGACTCTGTTCCTTTTGATAAGGTGAGTGCGTTGCTTGGCAGTGAATGATCGGTCGATCTTGCATTGATCCTCACTTCTTCAAGGGAAGCGTGGGGCTTTGGTACGCTTGGCAAGACGAACGGTTGGGCAGTGCGAAGACTGTGATCACGTTGATTCGGGGCATTTGTTGCTTGGCAGTGAATGATGGATCGATCTTCCATTGAACCTCACTCCTTCAAGAGAAGTGCAGGGCTTCGGTGTGGTTGACAAGATGCACGGTTGGGCTGTGTGGCGACTTTGATCCTGTTGATTTACACATGTGTTGCTTGGCAGTGAATGATTGCTCGGTCTTGCATTGTACCTCACTCCTTCAAGGGAAGTGTGAGGCTTTGCTATGCTTGACAAGATGAACGTTTGGGCAGTGTGGAGGCTTTGATGCCGTTGATTCGGGGCATGTGTTGCTTGGCAGTGAATGATGGATCGATCCTCCATTGAACCTCTGGCATTGAACCTCACTCCTTCAAGGGAGGTGTGGGACTCTGATGTGCTTGACAAGATGAACGGGAGGGCTGTGTGGGGACCTTGATCCCGTTGATTCGGGGCATGTTATGCTTGGTAGTGAATGATGGGTCGGTCTTGCATTGAACCTCACTCCTTCAAGGGAAGTACGGGGCTTTGGTATGCTTGACAAGATGAACGGTTTGGGCAGTGTTGGGACTCTGTTCCCCTTGATTAGGCGTCTGAGTTGCTTGGCAGTGAATAATCAGTCGATCTTGCATTGATCCTCACTCCTTCAAGGGCAGTGTGGGGCTTTGGTATGCTTGACAAGATGACTGGTTGGGCAGTATGGCGACTTTGATCCCTTTGATTCTTGGCATTTGTTGGTTGGCAGTGAATGATGGCTCGGTCTTGCATTGAACCTCACTCCTTCAAGTGAAGTGTGGGGCCCTAATATGCTTGACAAGATGAACGGTTGGGCAGTGTGGGGACTCTGTTTCCTTTGATTTGGCGAGTGCGTTGCTTGGCAGTGAATGAACGGTCGGCCTTGCATTGATCCTCACTCTTTCAAGGGAAGTGTGCGGCTTTTGTATGCTTGACAAGATGAACGGTTGGGCAGTGCGGAGATTGCGATCCCGTTGATTCGAGGTATATGTTGCTTGGCAGTGAATGATGGTTCGGTCTTGTGTGTTGAACCTCACTCCTTCAAGGGAAGTGTGATTCTTTGGTATGCTGGACAAGGTGGATGGTTGGGCAGTTCGGGGACTTTGTTCCTGGTGATTCGGGGCATGCGTTGCTTGGCAATGAATAATTGCTCTTTTCTGCATTGAACCTCACTCCTTCAAGGGAAGTGTGGGGCTTTGGTGTGCGTGACAAGATGAACGATTGGGCATTGTGGCGACTTTGATCCCGTTGATTTGGGTACGTGTTGCTTGGCAGTGAAGGATGGCTACGTCTTGCATTACAACTCACTCCTTCAAGGGAAGTGTGCGCGTTTGGTATGCTTGGCAAGAAGAACGGTTGGGCAGTGTGGGGACTTTGATCGTGTTGATTCGGTGCATGTGTTGCTTGGCAGTGAATGATGGCTCGGTCTTGCATTGAACTTCACTCCTAGAAGGGAAGTGTGGGGCTTTGGTATGCTTGACAAGATGAACAGTTGGGCAGTGTGGTGGCAACTTAGTCCTGTTTATTCGAGGCATGTGTTGCTTGGCGGTGAATGATGGGGCGGTCTTGCAATGAACCTCACTCCTTCAAGGGAAGTGTGGGGTTCTGTTATGCTTGACAAGATTAACCGTTGGTCAGTGTGGTGACTCTGTTCCCGTTGATTCGGGGCATGTGTTGCTGGGCATTAGATAATTGGTAGGTCTTGCATTGAACCTCACTCCTTCAAGGGAAGTGTGAGGCTTTTTGGTATGCTTGACAAGATGAATGGGGGAAGCTTGGTTACTCTTTTTCTCTAATTCGAGACGTGTGTTGCTTAGCAGTAAATGGAATCTCAGTGTTGCGTTCATCATCACTCCTTCAAGGGAAGTATTAAGCTCCGGTTGTCTTGAAAAATGAATGATTTGCCAACCTTGTGTCTCCGTTCCCGGTTATTCGGGATGGATGTTGCTTGGCAATGTATGATGGCTCAGTTTTGAATTCAACCTCACTCCCAAATGGGAAGTGTGAGTGTGTGGCTGTGGAACGCTTGCAAATGAACAGCTCGCATAGCTTTGATACTCCATGGGCAGTGATTCTGTGGACAAGAGATGCTTGGCATTGAACAGTGGCTTGGCCTTGCTTTCAACCCCACACTCATTCAAGGGAAGTTTGGAACTGTAGTACGTTTAAGAAGACGAATGTTTTGGTAGCTTTGTATTTTTTTAATTTTCGGGAGGATTGTATTTTCATATGGTACTTCCCGTAGGAGTCGTAACTCATGCATTAACATAGCGCAGGGCACTACACATCCCTAGCACTACACACACACGCGCATGCACACACACACACACACACACACACACACCCACATACACAAAACACACACAACACACACGCACGCACACACACACACACACACACACACACACACACACACACTATTCTGTGCACTGGAATGTGACACTACTTTGCTCATGAGTTACACACACACACACACACATACACACACATACACACACACACACACACACACAAAACACACACAACACACACACACGCACGCACACACACACACACACACACACTATTCTGTGCACTGGAATGTGACACTACTTTGCTCATGAGTTAGATTTCTCTGGCCAGAGCTGTACAAATACTTTCTATTGAACATTACTAATATTTCAGTCCTGAAATGAAAATCTTTTCCATTTGTTTTGCTATGCCTGTATCAGGCCTCATCACGGCAGAGACAATCAATTTAAGAAATGCATTAACTGTGACAGCAGGATGAAGAAGGTTAGATACTGTTGGAGCATGTTTATGGGTTTTCTGTGCACATGCCGTCACGTGTGTGTGTGCGTGCGTGCGTGTGTGTGCGTGCGTGTGTGTGTGTGTATGAGTGTGTTCGTGCTTGGAACAGTTTTTTTCTTGGCGTTCTACGCCTGCCTACACATTTTCCGTGTGCCTAGCACCTTAGATTTTGCCAGGTGGACAAGCATGCATGAATAGCTTTCCAACGTTACAATCATGTATCACCTGTACCTGGCCCATACAAGACAGTGTTTAGCAGAAACGCGTGCAAAATAGTGAATAGAGTGGCATGACATACGATCCCAGTATATATTTCTATAGGATCTGTTAGTATCTCATAAGATTGTACTTTGTCGTGTCCACTGTCTGGCAATGTGTAATATTTATACAGGTCAAGGGTACATCCAGGATGTCGTCGTGGCTATACCTGAATCAATCTATCCTGACATCATCATCATTGTCATGTCCAAGCAGTATCAAATCAGAGATGTGGCGGATGTTGCCTGCTACTCGACATTCAATGTGACGGTGGCTGGAAAGTGTTTTGAAGGTAAGAACTCCAGTCCAAAACTGACTGCATGTGTCATAGTGGTGGAAATGGAATACAGACTGACCAGCCGCTACAGGTACCGTACTTTACGCAGTACAAGCCTCGCTTTAAACACCAGTAGTTTACACACACAAAAAACAGTCGTAGCGCCTTATACAGTACGATGGTATGGCTTATACTACGATGGTATGGCTTATACTACGATGGTATGGCTTATACTACGATGGTATGGCTTATACTACGATGGTATGGCTTATACTACGATGGTATGGCTTATACTACGATGGTATGGCTTATACTACGATGGTATGGCTTATACTACGATGGTATGGCTTATACTACGATGGTATGGCTTATACTCCAGTGCGCTGTATACTCCAGCGGTACGGTAACGACATGCAGCTATCTGCAGCCTCGTGGGCACACACATGCATTGTGGTGGCAAATGAAATCTGACAGCTGGATGTTTTTCTCGTTCAAGTGCTGTGGAGCTAAAACAAAGTGTACGTGTCCCTGGCATGTACTCGAAGCGTGAAGATCATATTTTGGCATTCATTTACTGGTTTTGTGTACGGCTGTGCAGTACTACACTCAAACGTTTCTTATCCTATCGCATTGGTACCTGGCATTGACCATACGTATCTCAGATAATGCTGTATCATGATGTGTGATGAGTGTTTCACACAAAACTGTGAGTAACGACGGAAAAGGACTTTGTTGCGTCATTGCTGTGTGATCATTGTGTCGTATCTCAGATAAATAGGTATTGCAGTAGACCTTATGGTTCAAACAGGGGGTCAAGTGACACTCACTTTGTTTCGGATGATCATTGTAGATCTTGATATGCCAGAGGAGTACTTGGTATCACGTTCACGGCTTGTTGCCTAAATCTGTAACCGCATGCTCACCCATGTTTGTGGGCATGTATTTGTACGTGTGTGTGTGTGTGTGTGTGTGTGTGTGTGTGTGTGTGTGTGCGTGCGTGCGTACATGCGTGTTGGTGTGTGTGCGGGTTTCCGTGTGTGCATGCATGCATGTGTTCTATTTTGTATACCCAGATTATCATCAACCTGGGATCCATGCAAGGTGTCGCTATTGCTGGTCTTCTGACACCTTGCGGTGGCTGCTGGCTTTGGCCACCTTTCAAATAAAACAAACTTAAACTCCTCAGTGTGCTCTACTTGCTGCTGCTGCTGCTGCTGCTGCTGCTGCTGCTGCTGCCGCTCCTGCTGCTGTCAGTGGTTTTGTCAGAGTGAGAGGTGCCGCTGAGTGGTTTGCTCTTGGGTGGCTGACTGGATTTGTCACGGAGGTATACTCCTCACGGACATAATCTAGGTTGCATGGAAGTAGTGTGCCTGCTGTCCACTCTCTGTCGGAACTGTGCTGCAGTGTATGCATGAATAACCAGTGGAGGGAGCAGTCGGTTTACATGCTTCTTGTTCTTGTAGAAAGGCAACAGACTTGAGGTTCCACCAACTTTCCAGCATATGCCGGAATAAATTCGAACATTCTTGTACGGAATCTTGAATTCTGTGAATGCTGGATAGGCTTCTAATGCTGCAGTGTGTGTTATTTTCTTCTTAGTTTGATCTCACGGTCGCACGTGGGTTATTTTAATGGCTTAGCTTGACCTAAATCAGCAAAATTACGGCTCTGGCCAGAGAAATCCAACCTCACGAGTAATGTAGCGCGGCATGCAAGTTCGCAGAGGGGTGTGTGTGTGGTGCTGGGGTCGCGTAGCCCCCCCCCCCCCCATTATTGTTCGTGAGGTCGGGTTTCTCTGGGCAAGTCCATAATAATTATTATGATTTGGTAGCTTGAACCGCACGTACAAGGTGAGTGCATGGAAACAAGCTGAGCATTTTCGTCACTAAAATGCAGATCTACAATGCATACAATGTCATTGCATTGACATTTTCCTCGATAGCGCAAACAATAATTATTATCTACATAACATAGCCATGCAAGTAAAGTGGAACACAATTTTATTGCAACTCCAGTTTCACCATTGCACGACCATCACTGGCATCAGGCAAAAAAAAAGTCACCATGTGCTGTGTATGTGTTGTGCATGTCAAAACTAAAGGAAGCTCGGTCAATCGAGTTGCGTGTAGATCTGGATCTGACCCCAAGCCATCAAGGACAAGCATACCATTACCAGTACAGTACGGCAGTAGATCTACATGTCGCTACTAGTACTACATGTACCAAGACGGCAAGAGGTTACAATAGTAATGTAGATCTGCCAGGTATACCTGGTACATATACGTGACAGTGCTCGTCTCGGCTGTACAGACTCCGTGTAGATCTACCAGGTACCGGGTGTAAGCATCTACATGTAGCCTGGGACTAGCCTCTACTACTAGATTCTGTAGCTGGCTGGCTATGGCCCGCATGGGTGCTAGGCTAGCGATCGATCTACGACTGTAGACTTGCTGTACAGCGCTGTAGTAGATCTACTTGACCACTGTAGTGTAGATCTACTGTACTCTGTACCGTGGTGTAGGGCGCCGAAGAAGAAGAAGAAGAAGAAGGCTACAGTCAGAGTACAGTAGCACACCACAAAGCACAGCATACCTGTACTGGTATGTGGATACACGGTGACTCAACTGTGCATTGACTGTATGTACAAATAAGAACGGTCTACCGTCTCCGATTCCGTGGTTGACCCCCTCACCCCCCCCCCGTTCTTCGGCGATGGACGCTTGTGACAGTAGACTACAGACTAGACTAGCAGACTAGTAGTACAGTAAACCGGGACGCGATGCTCCGATGCGCGACGCCCATGGTAGACATGTCCCAACATTATGATTATTTTTCCAGTCACTCGGGTCACGTCTGCCACGTGCTCTCCCAGCCCGCGTTGACCAATAAACGGCGAGTACGTAATACTCTCCATGGATGTATCCAGTCTTCTCGAACATTCGTCTCCCACCATCTCCGTAGCTACGTAGGCGCTAGGCGTAGCTTCGTGCACATACAACTGCTTATCCAGCAGTCTACCGGGAGATGACCCCGTGACCCCATGACCCCATGCACATCCTGCACTGCAACGCTTTCTAGCTTCCCGGAATTGGTACACAGCTGCAGAATTTCTTTCGAGCAGCGGCCTACCTACTCATTTTCCTCGATGTTGTTGTCGCTGACGGTTGCGTTTCAGTTTTCTCTGAGTTTCCTCTTCCTAAGTGGTGGTTGGCGCTTTGTGCTCTTGTACCTGAAGCAAACTGAGCTGTGACTTGTATTTTCTTGGCGTATACGATGCTCCATCGTGAAAAGTTAGTTTCGGGTAGCCTCTAATATTGGCGCACTAGTACCTAAACCGCTCGCTAACGGAATGGTTGAGGCCTGAAACAGAATAGGGACTGGACGAAAAGCCATGCGTCTTTGAGAACACTGGCAAAATGGTGAGTGGTATTGGTACATGTATGTAAAGACAGATTTACGCTATGTAACAGCAGTCGCATGAGACGTTTCACGCAGCGGCTTCATTGTCGGTAAGTGTTTGGCGTCGTTAGCCATGGCTTTATCTAGAAATCTTTTTTTTCTTTCCGAATCAACTTCATTTTGTTTGATTTGGGCCATGGCAGGTATCTGTTCTCCGCCAACCACACGGCTGTTGTACATGCAGTGTTTCACTGCTGCTCCATTGCAGCTGTACCCAACCTTGATGCCTTCGCTGTTTTGTTCTCTTTTTTTCCTCGAAACCAAGGCGAGTGAAGAAGTCACTGCCATTCTCAGTTGATCTGCGCATGCGTGAGTTCCGTGGAAGCGCGTGTTCTGTTGCAAGAAGACTGATGTAAGTAAGGGTGCATGTAGATCTACTTCAGACACCATAAAAGTAGGCCTACATGCAGTACATTTATCGACCTGTTGACATTGGTCTGTTCCTCTGTGGTTTGCAGTGTCTGAACTGTCGCTAAATTCTTCACTCGCTAAATTCTTCACTCGCTATTTCGGCTTACACTTGTTGAGGCGTGTCCAGACCATTAGTCCACAAGTAATGAAAACTATGCACCTCGTCCTGATGAGCACTTGTCAGCGAAGAGCGACGCATGGCAGTGTGGGTTCAACTTGCGTTCTCTACCTGGTACTTTTTTAATTTGTGGCGTACTTCTGATAACGTGTGGCTAATTTGTTATGGTCGGAGAGCGAGGCACCCGTCTGTCGGCACTGGACTGCCTTGCCAGTTGTGGTGCTGTAGAATGTAGAACCCCTTCCGTTGTTGCGGGCGGTCGCCGGGACAAGGTAGAGTGCGCTTCCTGAAAAAGTCAAAACTGTTCCGGTCACTCATTTCTTCCACTTCCTCTTTTCCTCTCTGCAAGTCATCTTTGGAGCGTCGTGGACTCGGTCTGAATAGTGACGCGGACTTGCCAGGATGACGGGATTACACGCAACGGAGTGCGTCCGATCGCTACAGAGTGCGACACCGCTCGCAAAGCAAAAGGGTATGTTGGCTTGTGCTCTTGCTTATCTGGTGGATATTTCATGAGTGGATATTCATGTGACGTCAGACAGTGTTGTATATCCACGCCAGTGCACAGACATATGTTGTGTTCGCTAACACCAACGCTGTATGATAATTTTGTGTTGGAAATCGCTCATCTTGGGAGGGCTGCGTTGCTTTACCGTAAATGCCATGTAGATCGATATTGGTATACAATAGTCGTGTACATGTCGGTCTAGTTGAACATTCTGCTGCTTACCAGCATCACAAATCGCGTGGTAGCTGTTTGTTCGAAATGGCGCCTCCGCAATATGTTCTCAGTGAATACCATGCGAGCCTACTGCCCAAGTTGATGGATATTGGATGATTGGCACCGAGGTCTCATGCTGCCCATTATGATTTCATGATTTCTTCTTCTTCTTTTTTTATTCTTTTGTGAAATGATCAGTCTGCTAAACTGCTAACCAGTTAACTCTAAGTCACAGCGGGCAGTGATGACGGTTTCTGTGTGATATCTAAATCCAATATCCGAAATGTCCATTCGTAAAAAGATGAGCGCTGGCTCTGGCGAGCTTCCGTACTTGTCGATTTTTCGTGGTTTTATCGCACACAGTGCAGTGCCGCGAAATTTGTTGTGAGAAAAAGGGTCCAAAAAAGGTACCTCAATTGGGGTTCGAAGTGGAGTGAAACGGATTGGATTTTCATAGCCTTTCCCAATTCAGTGCTTACAAGACTAAACGTGACCGAAATCCTGTTCTTGTTGTGGCTTGCTTTTCGGAGAAATGGACTTCAGAAACATAATTGGAAGAGCACTCCATGGGGGATTGCAGAAAAATTGTGAAAAAACTCAAAATTTGATCCATTTATGGCGAAAAGCCAGAATATCACCTTTTACTGAATGGACTGTAAGCGCATTTGACATTTTCTTGCAATTTCCATACTGAATTCGACTGGCGACAACACCCATCACGATTTGCATTTTTTAAATCCATGTCAAACCATGGCACAAAGTGTGCCATGCTCTTATCTATCGCTGGATGTGTTAATCCTCCGACAGACGGTTGTGAGATTTGACAATTTTATGTTTCCTGTTGGTGGTGTATGAGCCCTTTGCAGGCATAAAGTTGATAATTGCACTTTTACACATCCCCAACCCTGAGGCCTTCTTTGGGGAAATGGTGCTGCGAACTATTTAATGTTCAATGTTCCTGATTGCTGCTTACTGTGTGCTCTATGATGGTGGGTTCTCCATGTGTGTACGCGTGACCAGTAGACGGTTGACCAGTTCTCCTCCTGCCACTGCCAGCTATTGAACACTCTGATCTGAGGTCAACCCTCCCCCCCCCCCCCCCCCCCCCCCGGGCCCTCTCGCTATCATCTGACATGGCATTAACTTTATCTCTGCCTGCTTTCCCGCACTAGATAAAGTGGTAAGCAGCAGCATTCGGCTCTGTACAAATCTTTTTATCAACCATCACACCATAACTGCGCTCTCCAGTCGACCTCGACACAACGTTGAGAGTTTTATACTCGAAACAGCTGTATGAAGGAATTCAGTACCAACGGATGTGTCGCTTTGCTGGTGGTGTGCTATGGCAACGTAGGGTCGAGGTTGGCTGGAGAGCACAGTTAGGGTGTGGTGGTCGATGAAAAATCTGCTTTCCCACATCGTGATGTAATGGAGGTTATTTGTTCTGTTTGTATATGTCTGTGTCTGTGTGAATGCT